TTCTAATATTTCTTTTAACAGGGTATATTCGTTGACGCGTACGTAAAGGAACGAACCATGAAACAGCTCGAAATTTGCATACTCGGAAGCGGATGCGAAACGAAGTAAATGAGAATTGAAAAGAAAACGTAAAAGAACAATTCGCAATGTCTCGCAGCACCGTGGCGGATCTTCATTGGCCACGTTTATCGACAACCTACTTCGGTAATAGCACTCTGTATCCCGTCGTCTTTATTCCTCCAACAAAAACACTTATAACCGTTAGACCGACACCGAACGCATACATTTCAAGTTACCGATTGTGATATCGGTACACATCTCAAGTGGTTTTACACATATCCCCTGTTATATCGAGTAGAAACCCTCGGTTGACATCGAGAGGCCGTAAAGGGCGGGTGGCAAGCAGCGGTCGTTCTAGGTTATGTCTAGATTGAATTCCATAGTTAATTGAACGGCGCATCACGTTGGCGTCTGGAGTTTTCAGCCAATTATGTTTCGTAGCGCTGCACGCAACCAATCGCCGATGTCGAAGCAGTTTATTTTCATTTCTCGCACGAACCCGCGCAATTGCGCGCACGACGGAAGATTCCGCCAGACGGATAACGTGAAAGTGACGAAACCCGCCATGTTTCGGATCTAATAATCGGAAAAGAAACAACCGAAAACTGACCGAACGATGCGTAACGAACTCTCTCGCGATCGGACCGCTCGGCGGCACGCACGCAAACGCAAACTTTTCAAATCGCGACCTCAAACTGTACCGTGCAACATTGTTCGGCACTGTACAAGAAATATGCCCGAGAATACCTCTTTCCCGCAGGGGCAATAGGTCGTTTCTAAGTAAGAGTGTCGGTTTGTTCGCATAGAGGCAACAAGGGGGTAAGAATATACGGACGGAGCCCAAGCCAGAGGGGCGAGTGCCGAGGTAAGTAAGGAGGGAAGACGTAGGAACACTGGGAGGGTAACCATATGGTTGTGCCAAAATCTTAGCTTCCTCCGATTGGCTGAGATTTAGTTGTCACTTTACTAGTGCGGGCCGTGAACGGATAAACAGGGTATGAAGTACGATGTGCCACTTTAGCATAAAGAAGGTTAAAATCGATGTTTTACGTACACAGGAGGGAAGAAAAGAAATAAGCAGGTGACCTACCAATCGGGAGGCCGAAAAAGTGGCCAACGATACCCTCGCCCTTTCCGACGCGCAGGCTTCCCCCCTGGTCCAAGATGCGGCTTTGGATATTGGATGGACGTTCTTACGTTAGAGTGCGGGGCCCCATTCGGGCCAGGGACGGCCCTGGCGGGAGCTTCCACCCGCGGAATTCAAATCGGTCCTCGGTCGCTCGCAGTCGCGATAAAACCACATATTCGCGTAAACGGTTGCGCGTTTCTCCGCTAACCAGGCTTCTACGCGACCCGACTGCGAGTCTCGAAAGAGTTCTCGAAAGAGTTCTCGAAGGATTCCTTTTCCGAGCCTCGTTCGTCATCTCCGATCCTCGCGAATTCCTTGGCGAAGTTAATTCGCAGGACGGCGAAAACCGTACATGCTTTGTGAACATATAATTCGATATACGTGCCAGTGCTTGCGAAAGTGATCCAAGTCATTCCTCTACATTTATTTACTTAGACCACTTTCATGGTAATTGGCACGTACATTGACCACAGTAAACACTATACAGTGTAACAAATTCGATAAAGTAGAAAAAGAAGCGCACCCTCTGTACCGTCCCAATTTTTGTCTTTTTCTTATTTTACTTTACCCTCATTTTGAACCGAATGTTAAACCGCGGAGGTTCGCGGATGTATTAAAATGTGTTCGTAATAAATCTACGAGTTCCCGAGATGAGTTCATAAAAGCAAAAATCTGACAATTCAAAGAGGGAAGACAGTGGTATTGAATATACCGAATAAATAAATATAATGATCCGGTAAATATGATCAGCATTACATTTTCTCGTATGGGGATCAATAGTCCTAAAACGTGCCGTTTGAGATACTTGAAAACTCGCTCAGAAAAGTACCTCGCATATTGAAAGAAGTAAGTTTAAATCAGTCTTCGCTCTGCAAAATGTAGCAAATTCACGCAAATCGGTACTATATTAGTACCTATGCTGTCCTGTATCTTGTGGTATACCGGTATACTGTACTCCACTAAAATGAATGCGACAAGTATGAAAATATATGAAGATACAGGCATCCCTCAATTTACCCGGAGTATCCGTTCCACGTGGATTCATTTAACGCGAATGAAAATCGCATAAACAATGTCTGTCGATACAAATGAAAAAATATTGTAAATAAAAGCTGGTACATGTAAGTTCATTTCTAATAATTTAACGAGAAAAATAAGTAAAATAAATAATTGAAATATACATTCACAAAGCATGTAGAATACTTTTTGATTACATACAGTTGAAAATGATTTAAAAATGAAGTTCAGAAGAGGGTTCGGCCGTTCCCCTTGCTGGATCTCCTCCACTCGATGCACCGACTTGGCCTCGACCGACGAGAGGCATACCTGCCACCTGACACGGGTCAAATCTCGATTGTTATCGGGAATTTTCACCGTTCTCCTTCGTGGAAAACGGCACACGGAAAACGGGGGGTAGACTGTGGTTACGGGCCGAGCATGGAGAACCATTGCCGGCCCGACGCTATCATTTAAACGTCAAACTTTTCATTACGCCGAGTGCACCAATGTAGAACGTGGCACTTTGCCTTGCATTTTTTTTCCCTCCCATTTGCCAATTATTTGCAAACGTAATGCGGAAAGCATAGAAATTTATACAAATTCTTGCTCGATTATTTCATATTCAATTTTACTTACGCAGATGTACGGAGACGAGTCCATTTTATGGAGAGCGAAAGTTTCCGAATAAAAATATTTAGGGCAAACCGTTAACAACTACGATTTGAAATGTCGCTTTATTGTATTCATTTTGGCAAGAAGAGTTTCATAGAAAATGTATTACGTTAGATAGGGCTCACTGAATTTAAATATTTCGATATTTCGTATCCTACGATTTCTGAAAAATCAAATTGATTTCCGATTTTTAGCAACACCGTATATTATTCTCAAAGTTATCTCGTAACGGATAAAAGACGAGTTCAATGATATAGAAGAAAGTGGCTAAGGGCTGTCCTTAAAGCTGTTACGTGAAGACATATAGGGCGGAAATGTATCGTAGTATTTAACTCCAAACACAAACGTTACAATGTTCCCGTCTGAAGTACGCATTCTCTCTGTGCAGTAAAGTAAGAAAAATTGCAGGATACCGAAGTTGTTATTAGTCGTTGAACTAGTTATCTTCCTGGCTACGTGATAACATTAAGACAAATTAACGTAGAAGGTGCGCCGTTTAAAAAGCTGGGGGGTCAATTTGAGGTGATATGAAAGTAGCATCTGAGAGGTAACATTTACAAAACTTCTCCAAACCGGTTGTATCAAATCGTTAGAAAATGTATCACATACGTTCAGAGTTCTTCAAAATGGTACTAACGCGCATGAAATTTGTTTTTTTTTTTATGAAAAACGTAAAGAATTGATGTAAACCAATGAAAAAATTTAAATTTTCCAGATGCCTGGATTTTCGTTAGGAACTCTATACTTACGTGATCAAATTTCAAACGTTTCGATTACACCCAGTTCGAAGAAAAGTTGCAAGAACGATCGACCCCTCGGACCCCACTTTTATAATACCTTATTGTTCGGCAAAGGATAGGACAGAAAGAAGGCAAAACACTTCCATTTGATGAACCCCATCGAATAAAGTATACTTGATATAAAATGATCTTGGATAAAATCAGTGCACGATGAGGCAGTCCAAGTGGCAGCTCTTATTGACTAACTCGATACCAAAAAATATCTTACAAGTACGTTCACTTGGAAAATATCGGTAAAAACATTGTCTACTTTGTTGGTTTCTTCCAACGTTTCAAAGAACCGTATCTCTCAATGTTGTTCGGATATCCTCAAAGTCATTAAGAAAAATCCTTTTTGTATCAACTGAAACAAAATATACCTATGGCTCGAAATGCTAATTTCTACTGGAAAAAGGAACACGTCGAGCTACGAAATATACGAAATTTCATTGGCGGTATATTTGTTTTTGTCCAAAGTCCCGTTTTAATAGACCGAACCAGAAAGAATTTCAATGATTTTCCGGTGCCAGCAAGAAACCGAAATTTTGCGCCTATTGTATTCGACCCTTGCTTTCTCCGCGTATCCTACGGTTCGGACCACCGAATGACCTCCGGTCAACCGAGTTTCGTTGTCTTAGAAATGGTCCCGTATGTCAGAATAATTTCAGAGATATCTACGCGTCACCTAAATCTGAACCGTTTGACATTAAAATATACTTTTACAAAGCGTATACACGGAGTCGGATTTTGGTTAACGTCGCACCTCGTGGCGTCCCGATCGAAGGTAAGTACAGCGTCGGTCATACGTCAACGAACTCGTACAAAGAAAAAAGGTAATCATTCAACGTCTGGAGTTCGGAACGCGCATCGAGGAAAACTAAATAAGCAGAAACATTGTAGGTAAAAGCGATCGCCGTTTCCCAAAATGCGGAATACACAATCCGAGAGGACGAGACTTCCCGACTGACAAAAACCCATGGAAATTTACATACATTTTTCCCCCCTTCGTAACTTGAGTTTCACGGAGAAAACCGGAAAATGAAAGAATTACAAGTTAGAACACGTATATCTACCGTATTGGAGCATTTTTCCTTGAATCGAACGTAATAGCGCGTTACAATTTTCTACGGTTTAACTCGGATGCTGAACGCGATATTACGCAGAATCGAGGAGATAATTTTGCCTTCGAGATAACCAGCGACCGAGGATGCAAATTGACACGGGCCGCTGATTCCCCCGATTCGGAGTCGCGTCGCCCGCCAAATCCGCGGACGTCGAGCACGCGGCAAACGCGCATCCGCCTCGCCGGAGGAAACGCCGCGTCTTCGGCGGGCGTTGCATGAAAACGGTTACCGACTGACCTTCATCCGCGAGGACGATCCGCCGGGGTACCCCGGGCGGCGCGTCCGGGTCCCGGAATCGGGAACGCACCTTAGGTCAGGAACCGCGCAAAAGGTCGCACAAACACCACAGGAGCACCACCGTCGGCGGGAGCGTCGGCGGAAGCGAGGAGCAGCTCGCCTGCGGCGCGCGTCGGAGCGCGACTCCCCTCAGCGCCGCGCGGAGCGGCCGCGGGTCGACACGGTCGGCATGGTCGGTCCCGGCCCGGTCGCGGCCCGCCCGGACCTCGCGGGGTCCCTCACGCGGTCCCTCACGCGGTCGGGCGAGCGGGCGCGAGTACCGGGTTCACCATCGCTTTCGGGGCGCGCGCGCGCGCACTGGCGATCCGTATCGTGGGCCGGCGACCACGGGAGTGCGGACGGCCGGTGGGTCGCCCGGGACAAAGTTGCCTCTCGCTCCCTCCGCCGGCGCGGTCGCCGTCCTTCTCTCCCTCCCGGCGGCTCGTCGCTCTCTCGGGCCCGTTTCCGCCCCGCGCCACCCCGCGCCGCCCCGCGCCGCCCCGCGCCGCCGCGCGTAGGTAGAGGCGGCCCGGGGCCTCCCGGGCCTCCCGGGGCCTACAGTCCCGCGAACGCGCCGCGCTATGGCGGCGGCGCGCCTCCCGCGCGGCATAGTCCGGGAGCGCGCGGACCGCCGGGTACCCGGGTAGGTAGGTAGGTAGGTAGGTTGGTATGTACCTCGCCTCGGGGTACTCTAGGCATAGCGGTACTTCCATGCCTCCGACCTCTCGCCCCCTCCTTCGCCACCTCCACCGCGCGCCCCTCCTCCCTTCCCTCCCGCGCCCGGAATTCCGCGCCTCTACCTCCGAGGGCTCGCGTTACTCACACCGCGGCGAAACCGCGCGCGCCGGCGGTTCTCGCGTCTCCTGCGGACGAGCGTCCTCGCGGGGACTCCAGGGTGTGAGTCGGGACGCGCGCGCGCGCGCCCCGGCTCCGGCTCGGTCCGGTCTTGGAACAGGACCCCAAGGACGTGGCTGAGTCGCGAGGCCCTCGCGCGCGCCCGCCGGAGACTTCGACGCCCGCGCGAACGGGTCTCCCGCCGCCGCCGCCGCCGCCGCCGCCGCCGCCGCCGCCGCCGCCGCCGCCGCTCCGCCGAGGAAATTTCATTACCCTCCCCGCGGTCACGTGACGCGTGACGTCACTACGACGAGAGAACCGTAACGCCTTCGCGACGGGACGCGACGCGACGCGACGTATCGAGGGGCTATGCGCTCTCGAATGATCTCCTTCGTCGAAGCCGGTTTCTCCGTTTTCACCGTGTCCCTTTCGAGGATCGCTGGATTCCTTCCGCCGTCCCTTCGACGGTTCCTTTTTGGCGGACGTGGAGGGCGTCCGCCTCCTTTCGGCCACGTGCTCCGTCCGAGCTAGCTGGCGATCCGTTTCGTTCCATCGATACCTTCTGAGATTATTAAGTCAAAACTGAATTGTAAAACCATTCGATTTAATGCCGTTCTGCAAACGAACTTCATTTTTCTTTCCAACGCAAAGGGTATCTTGCCTGCGTTCCTTTCCAAAGGTATGGGAATACGCGATGTACGTCATTTATCGAAGAGGACGTTGCTTAGGTTGATTCAGCGGAAGTACTTAAGGTGATACGGAAGAGTCACTTTTTATATATAAATTGTAAAAATATTCATAAAACTTTTCTACAAACTGGGTGGACCGAATCATTTGGAACTTCAGCCCGTGATTATGAAGGTCCTGAGGAAGAACGTGGTACTCGTGATATTTCATAAAAAAAAAAAAAAAACATGTATCGTTAGATCCAGTCTGGGATAAATTAAAACATATCTTTATTAAAAACGAAATTTCGTGAGCACCGCGTTCTTCCTTAGGGCCTCCATAATCCCATGCTGAAGATTCCAACGATTCGGTGCTTTCAGTTTGGAGAAAAGTTTTATAAATATTTTGACCTTTTGGTATATATAAGGCTTTCGTATCACCTTATGATGTTTAGCAGAAATTACATCGTGCAGTACCTAAATTCCAGCGATGCGATAGTGCGAACATTGGCGACACTTTTGTGTCGCATAAAACATACCGCAATTTGGAGTTACATCCCTCCCTCAATTTACTCAGTAAATTGTAACACAATTTACGCGATTTTGAAACGTCATCATTTTTTCCTTTTTAAGCTATTTGAAATTAATATGTATTTCTAAAACTTGTATGTATTAGCTTTTATTTTAAATATTTTCTTCTTTTGTACCGACAGACCTTATTTACGGGATTTTTATTCGCGGAAAACGAATCCACGTGGAACGGATACTCCGCGTAAATTGAGGAACGCCTGTACTCGAACGCCCCAAGGTAAGTGGGTCACTCACCCTATTTTTTCCTTTATTTTATATCTTCTCGGGCTGTCGTTCCGTTCTTTAATATTTTCTGATCAACATTCTTAGGCGAAGAAAATGTTAACGAAAACTGTATCAGTTTTTGGATAAAATATCGTATCAAACTCCAACGACTTGATATAAAAAGTGATTAACCGCTAATTGAGTTTGAAGACGATGCGAGTACGAATTCACCGGTAACTGTCACGCTTTCGAGAGGAAACATCGGATACGGCCCAAGACCGTCAAATTCCGGTTCGGTACAAGAATATCATTCATTCTTTCCAAGTCTCTCGGGCTTTCGAGCGAATGAACCGCTGGCGCCGTCGATACGCGGACAATCTGGTAGCAACGAATAAGAGAGACGTGGCAAAGTCGGCCCAAGAAAATGCAGCATTTGGAATTCGCATTAACTTGAGACAATCAATCCCACGACTCATTTGGTCGACGATAGCGAGTAAGCATCGATTTGACGGAAGCCCTTCTGTCCTGGAAAGTGATTTCTTTTTTTCGCCCGGCGCAGCGGTCCGACGTCGTGAATCGGATATAAGCGTCGAACGCAGAGGAGATTTAAAAATAAATCTAGACGGCGGCAATGAATTCGGAGGAACCGCGTCGGTTCCCATGGCCGGGGAGTCGAGTCGGGGAGCAGCAACAGGTAGGGGGCCGTCGTTGCCCGTGGACGCGGACGCGGACTCGCCGCTCGCCGCTCGCCGCGGACCGCTTACTGCTACCCGGTCGGACACCCGGCCGGCCAATGGGAACGCGAGACCTACATACGCCCTCCCGCCTCCTCGGAACATCCGCTAGTCCCGGCTCCCGAAGAGTTCCGGTACCGTTACTCGCCGCGGATCGCGCTTCCTCGAGGAACTCTCGGCGAACGCGGCCTTTCCAGTGGAAGGATATCTCCGGTGCCGCTTGCCGAGATCCTAAAGATCGCTGCTGTCGGTACTCTCGGTTGCTTATCTCTCCTTTTTTTCTTCCTTTACCTTCGTAACGCCGCCTTTTTTCTTTTCCTATTTTTTTTATACCTTTCCTATTTCTCCATGCCTGACCGAGTAGGTACAACGCGCGGGTTAAGTTAGCTTTTCTCCCCGCGCTTCTGTCGAGCTCTACCAGCTGTAAGACCCGATGCAGCGGTTCTCGCACCGGGAACGGACGTCGATCGGCAGGAGGAACCGCCGGAAGAGCCCGTCGCGTCGTGGCGATAGGTCGTAAGGGCTCCTGGCGCGAGTCAGTGGGTGGGTCGGCGGAAAAAGAAACGAGGCTGGGACGAAAGTACCTTCTACGAAAATATTTTTTCATTTCCAGGACCCCGGCAGCCTTGCAATCAACGTGGCCTGTCGCATGCCGCACGTATTGCGCCATTTACCTGGCCAAGTTTGCCGTCGTCGTTCGCAAAGAACGATCGGTCACCGTGAAACAAAGAAATTGGGAATTGCCGCAAACTGCCGCTTATTTGCTCGCAAAGCGTAACGTCCGAAAAGAGGATTTCGAGAGAAACGGATTTCGTTGATAATAATAAGATTAACGAGCGATGAATATTCAGATGATCCTTCTACCAGGAATTGATACAAGTATGCAAAGTGCCATCGCGATACGTACATCCGATAACGTTTGAAGCGAGTAGCGGAGGGTATTCATGCCCCATCTTTCGCGGTATCGGGGAACTGCTGTCGCCTGGCGGCTCTCCGCCGAACTGCTCAACGTTCTGCACGAATACGGTTGCACTTTTCCGTGCCATTCGATTCTCTGACGCGCACCCCGGGAATTACGCAGTCCTACGCCAAAACCGTTTACATTTATTATGAGTAAATGAAAAACTTACGAGTAAAGGAGACCGAGATCAAATGTAACACGAGGCAATTATAATAAACGTTATAAATTTCATCTTTAAATTTGGAAAGCGCGTATCGAGACCGTGGAAGCTTTTCGATAGCGCCATGTACGTCTCACGATAATTTCATGTTTCTTAGACCGAGCGTTTCGTTGTTGTCGACATTTTTCGTAAAACGGCCGGGGTGAGTAACATTTTCATGGGTTCGATATTTTTGGTCTGTATTAAATTAGGGGGAAGCGAAGCCGATTTACTCGTGCCACGGCATTGCACGTGGAGCAGTTCGTTACATGTTTAATGGATCTAAAGTTAAGTAGTTATAATTATATCAATCGTTTGGCGGTATACCAAGTCGAATTGACTCCAGTCATCAACGTTGCCAAAAAACACGTTCGATAAAATTTATCTGGGGCAGACTCTTTGAATACGAGAACATGCCTTGTACACGTAAAAATATTCATAAACGAAATGAAAACAAAGTAGATCAATCCAACATTTATCGTTTAACCCGTGTATTGGTTTCGAGTCTGCCAAGTTAATACGATCCGTTGTGCTTTTACGTGTTGTCAACTTACACTTTTCGTCCTTAAATATTCAAGCAATTTTTTAAATTAATAAGTATCGTTACATTTGCTCCGATCAGTGTTACAATCGCCCCCTACATCGGTAGAAATTGAAACAAAGACATTCGGTGGGGAAAATAAAGTTGCCAATTTTCCATGAACTTTTAAAGCGATAAAACCCAGACCATCTTTTAGTGGAAGATTACCCACTTTCAATCGTGAAAACCCGTTACTGTTGGTTACGGAATAAAAAATGTAAAAATGATTAGAATCGACCTCGGGCTTCCCTATGCTATACCGTGCGGCAACTGAGAGCTAAACCAAATTTATTTTCTACGACGCGTTATATACCTATGCTATTTCGGGGCTTTTGTTCTACTACCTTGACGTAGCTCGAGAGTTGGCGGAAGAAAAATGACAGATTACTAGTGATTATCGGATTGTTTATTCCAGTTCTATCACTCCCTTGTTGAAAGCTCTCTATTCCAGAGCACTCGTTCGACTCAGCTTTGCATGTAAACTTATCTAGGTAAACTACTAATATAAATTAATAGCAATACATGTATGAAGTACAATAACAACGTTATAATAATAGTGCTCAAATATCGGTGTCTGTCCTTAATCGAAACGCTGCACCTGTTTTTATAAGGGATGTGAACGAGCTCGATTTTATTCAATTTACAGAGAATCGATTTATATAGAAATGAATTAAATTTGTGATGAGAATATCAAGTTGACCGTGTATAAATTACCGGTATGCTTAAAACATTGGAAAGATTTTTTGAAACGTACCGCGGCCACTTTTGTAGAAAATAATTACTAAATTATCAGGACGGAAAACATTGGGAAAACTTATTACATCTTCGATATATTTTCTCCATGATGCAAATGTATAATTAAAGTACAATAGTGTGTTCTGAAGCGAATGGAAATTAACAAGAATCGATGATTTATTACAAATATTCTAACTTTACAAACAACCATTTTAAAATCACTAACTAATAAGTTGAAACAAATGATTTTGTACCGATTATTGAAGGGCATTCTGGTGTAACATTAAAATAAATAAAAAAAAAACGATTTCGTTTCTATGAATCGAAAGTACATCTCTGATGTATGCACGTACAATTTTAAGATCGAAATAATGACGTAGAGTTAAATTACAGACCATTTAGTGAGACACGTCAGATTATTATTTGTGATAGACGTGGCCGTTGTCTTTACAAAAGGGGAAGATATCCGTTTTAACGCACATCAGAGTTCCTCAGTTATAAAATGAATGCTACCGAAATTGCAACGTTTTGTTATTTGTTTCAATTTGTAATAAAAAAAAAAAAAAATAGCACCAAGGCCACTATCAAACGGGTTTTTCTCGGAACTACATTCTTCAACTTAGCGTGCAGGATCACTCAAAAACAAATTGACCGGTAAACTTCGTACACAGCCCAGTCAACTTCTTATACATTACTCCAGGGGTTATACCTGTTGCTACAATTGAATTCATTATTTTTAACATTTCTATCAGCAATACGAAACTAATTTTTTTGTTGGAGAAGTTCATTTTTATACATATAAGCGCTAGAAGTTTTTCACTTTTGCAGACATTCTTTTTGAAACAAGCGTATCCCAGCGTTTAATCCCATTTAGTGGCTAACAGATTGTTTTTAGCGTTAATAAACTCTGCAATAGTGTTCGTAATGATCGTAAAGACATAAAATTGATAATGAAATTATGCGTATAAAGTTGATCGGTAAAAATATGACTTATGAAAGAAATTATTGAAAATTATTTTTAATATTTAAGTGTAAAAGCCAATAAAACAATTTGAATAATTGGTATTTAAAACGTCATTCATCAAAAAGATTTCATGTCTCCTTGAAAAGCAACTTGGCTAGTTTCTGTAAATAATGCTTGTGGTCATATATTAAGCGATCACTTTCAAGATTTTTTGTTACATTGGCATTAAAATTCAATTACGTTCAGATGAGTTTCAAGACTAGATTCATAATGAATACAATTTTACTTTCATATAATTTAATATTACTTCATCAAGGTATATTAAAAAAAAAAAAAATAATAAAAATTAACATTTTGTGGCCTCACTGGTAACGCTCTTGATTCATAATAAACTTAAATATAAGCTTATCTACATTAATAAAGCTTCCATGTTTGTGGAGTTTTTCCTATAAGGTATGTACACATATCATTAATCAGTGCAGTCTGGAAGCAATTGAATTTAAACCAACTAATACACCGAGCGAAAAAATTACTTCCTTATATTAAATTAAATAATTGCGATAATTTAAATGCTTCTCGTTAAAGACATTCCTTAGTTACAACAAAATTGATTTTGTAAGAATCATAAGCGTTGTGAGCTAAATAATGAATTAGTATCAAGTGGAAATGATTTTGCGAACGAAATTTCACGTACAAAACTCCTTTCAAGATTAAAAGTTACAATGGAAGTTAAATCATTATTTGTATAAGATATATTTAATTCAGCGATTTCCGGTAAAAAATATAGCTTGAAGTCGAGAATTTTACGAGGAACTGATTACACATACCGCGAGTTCGTTGAATTCTAGCTTAGTACGGTAATGCTATTAACTCTTTCAATATATTTCGTTCTCTGAACGATCAACTTTTCGTTCCAGGACGTTTATGTACAAAAAATGGAATAGTAACGAAGAGCCCTAGGAGAAGCTAAGTTCAAGAAAACCGAGCATAGCTTCAAATTTGTATTAATCTCGGATCGTTCACACAATCTTGTGATTTATTCTCTCGATAGCTACAAGTAGACATCTACTCGCCACAAGAACGTTTTTCTTTCTAAGAAGTGAATTTTCCGCTCAGTGTATGGCTAGAGGAAACACAAGAACGTGCAATCTCTTGACCGAAGATTCAGCTCAACCAAAGCCCACATTACGATCCTCTAAACTTCGATCCAGGTCACTCACACCCCAGATTTCGTGTTGTCCTGCGGCTATGGCTTAAATCGTATCACACGCCTTGCAAAACATACACGTATGTACAAATACACGCGGTAACTATACACTAGTTTTATACAAGATTCTTGTACTCTAATAATATGAATCGCTAGTACTATGGCCATTATGAAACCATGAAATTCCGTCACTACAACCTAACGAGTGTTCTCTCGCTCCGCGTCGTAATTAATTGAAAACTTATCGTCATCCCAGTGATTGCGACAAATCTTGATTCTGGATCCCACAATCTACGGATATTAAGCTCTTAAATCGAGTTTAACTTTGGACGTTTCTTTAGAAATGAACCGTTCAAACTGATATCTGCCGTTACAATCGCGAATGTTGTTAAGTTACTTATATAAATACCCGATAAATAGTAAGCGTTAACACATTGAAAACGGACGATGAGTAAATTCGTCATTGATATTATTCACTTTCAACCTGGTCATAAGATATTTAGTCCGTGATGTGTTAAGTTCGATGTTAAATTTCATTTAGTGTTTATTTAAAATTGCACGCATTTCCCGGTATAACGAGCGCTCAGAAATTCATTGCGTGCATTTGTACGATAAGACATTTTCCTTTCGTGCGGAGAAAAAATCGCTATTGCAAGTTTCAAAAGTGTTAAGTACATATGTATATGTATGTAATACTTCTATCGTTAGTCGAGCTTTTGCGGCGATCTCATCAAATCGGTGAAATAAGTGTATGAACTTCTTTACGCACGCGTCTTCGTTCTCGGGGGTCTGTTTCTGATGTCTATACTAAGTAATTGTCATAGGACGATGTATGTTTTTTTTTTTTCATCTACTGTACAAAAAACAAATGATAATTGGTTTCTCACGATCGGATGAATAACTGTATAGTTCAAGCTTAACTCATATAAATATTTACAAAATATTTATAAATCGAAAAGATTAGGCCTTCCCATTACAATGAAGTCTCGTTCGTTCTCAAGCTGGACTAGGATCACCGGAGTATTACATATACGATATGCATGCTTCACGGATGTAACTAGCACGTTGTACTCACGTTAATAACATTGAATCATTTATCGGATATTCTCATTCATTGCTCAGGAGCGAAATCATGTCGGAATGAGGCTTAATATCCTGGATCGGAATATCTACGGTTCCCCTTCATTGAGATTCTCACTGTATTTTATTCCTCGTGGATAGAGAGAAAGGCCGTGCGTACTCGGAATATATAAGAGAATTGGATGTCTTTCTCCGGTTAAAATAACGCGTAAACAAAAGAGTTGATAGCACAAGTTACCGAGAGACGTGGCTTCCTATCCAGGGGCTCCAGCCTTAACATCGTAGCGGGCAGAATGCTCACTATGAGTGTTTATAAATATTTCTGAAGCAAAGAAAGTGTACGAAACGTACAAATTCTAATAAAATCAGATGTTATTAATAACGAAATTATAATACATGCAAAAAGGAAATCGATATCGGATCTCAATTATCAAAATATGCTAGCACTTTATGGTACTAAAAATAAAAACTCATTACTTGGGCATAAATGCAACAGTGACAATTTGTTACAGCAGAGTAAAATTAACTTTCAACCGACTTTGTTCAGTGCATACTAAGAATTGACAGTCCGTTTTTTAAATGCTTTAACAGCGATTTGCAGGCGATTCGCTGCATGAACCTCACGACAGATCAAACAAGACGGCAGCAAACTTATTATAGATTCCTATTAAAATTTATTCCACACGTTTTACGGATATAGAAAAACGCATGAAAAGTACGTACTTTGGATGAAATACAATTTGGGCGGAAAGTCCATTTACCTAAGCTTAATAAGCGTAAACGTTTTTCAATTTGATAATACATGACTGTGAGCTCAACGAATAAATTAATTTCGGATGTCTATCTCTTATCATGCACGCATTTTGTACTGAGGCACTATCAAAAATGCACGCATTGAATATTCTATCCGTTTGATGAATAAAATAAGAAAAATCGTAATGTAATCTCGTAACAAGATATACAAGGGTGTTTCAAAAAGTAGCAGCAAATTAAATATTTTTAGATACCTGTGTCACATAGGGTCACAAATGATGTGTCGTTTTTCTACACAATCATCCTTCATTTTAATACATTTCTCATGCCGTCTCATCAACTCCTATATTTATTCCCAAATCATCGTCCTCTCAAAAAGTTCTTCAGGGATCTAAACGTAAAATAGTCAGAGGGAGCAATATCAGGACTGTATTATGGAGGATGCCGGACGATGTTAAGAGTTACAGGGCCAGGCGGGGTAAGAACCGATGCATTCCTGGCTGGAGGCATATACAATACCATTTCTTTCCAGTGCATTAAAGAAGTCAAGGTAACGATGCGAGAAGTGTATCGAAGAAGCGAATAATTATGTAGAAAAATGACATCTAATTTGTATTGTAACTAAACGACAAATACCTAAAAATATTTTATTTGTTGTTACTCATTGAAATATCCTCGTTTATACCACGATCAAAAAGTTCATTTCTCGAAGCTTAATAAGCGTAGAATCCCGACCCCATAAGCAATACAATCTGCGTGCTTTTACCAAGCACAGACATCTAATTTCAACTTCATATATAAAATTATCTATTAAAAAGAAACTTAACATTCTACTTCCACCGACACTGCACAAAAATGTTACCTCTAGAACCGTTTCTATCGATTGTTCTGCAACAATGTCTTTTAAAACCTAAGGAGTACTATCAAGGAGTATCGCTTCTTGTTTAAAAGAAATCCAATAGGACTCCTCGGAACGTTACTTCAAATTCGAGTTCAATTAATTGCCTAATACTCAAGCGACCCCCTTAAAACAGAGGTCCTTGCAGATGGAACTAATGTCTCCGTATTGTGGTAATTGCAACCGTGATGGTACTAGTAACTATATTGTCGTTCTGGCTCGCAGTTCAAATTTTGGTCCGTCAAAGACATTTCCCTGGATTTTGTGAACACCATTGAGGCCACATGGCTTCCGTTTTCAAGCCTCTGTTTGAAAGAATCTGAGTATGAGCAGCCAATCTCGTGTAAACACTTTCCTCAGTGGAATAACCATTCGTTGGCATGTCACTCCTGAAACGTAGGTTCGAATAATTCGAGGTTGCATAATATTTCTTAAGGTATACCCATTATTCCGATTAAGAAAATCATTTTCATCACGAAAGGAGAAAAACAGTTATATTTTTCAGTATTAAAACCCCAACTTGGGGTTATTCGATAAAGCAGAAATAAACCCACCATAATCTTTCGGCGAGAGCGGAAGCTCGGGGCCATAGTCGAGATCCCAGAGACATCTGCCCAGTCTGTTCACTCCAAATAGCAGCTTCACCTCCAAGAACAAGACCCAGTTGTTGCTGAGGATAATCCCTCCAAGGTCTGTGATTATAAACGGTTTGCCATGTTCGATATTCACCGCATGCGGCTTCGCCCGATTCCCTCCACCTGCCAAATCCACAATCCAAATACCATGCGTCAACGTGAGAGAGAATCACCCGATAGCCATCTTCCAACAAATCCGGGGTTTCCGGCCAATTGCTGCCTCCCCAAGATTGAATCACGTGCACTTTTGGGTCGAAGTATGTTGTGATGTATGGTCTCTTCGTAAGCGGAGAACTCCATAGGATCACAGCTTTCGGAACTTCATTGTAATTCATCTTAACGATTCGCTGATAAATCTTGTTTTCAAATTCGGCCCATAAAGCATGATGATCGGTCATATTTTGGGCTTGCATTGCTGCAGTTATGTTGGAGTATTGGGCCCAGCAATCGAGATTGACTTCGTCTCCGCCTAGATGAATTATATCTCTTACCTCGGTAAGATCTAAAAGCTCCTTATATAAACCCTCTAGAATTCGGTATGTGTGCTCATTTATTGGATTTAGTTGGCCGCAATTTGGTTCGCCACAGTATGAAGACCACGGCTGTTGATCTACGCATAAGGCAAGTTCGCCGAGACCGTGATGGCTTCCTGCAAGGAAATCACGATAGTGTTACTACACGATTACGGTGTTTTCACGATCCAAGATATAACTTATTTGTGGTGGAACCGATGATCACATGGGCATTCTTTTGAAACGGCGTATTCTCTATCCGCGGCTTTTAAAACCCTTTCGTTACGAGCGCCGACTATAACCGGCATCAACGCAACGACCTGGGTGTACGAGCGCCGACTACAGTCGGTAACGAATTCCGCTTTATCCGTAGAGTATCTTTCCATCGTATTGACCCGTATCAAAGAATTCAGAAGTCTCCATAGAAGCCCAGAAGGATACGGACGTTCGATGCTCGATAAATAGTATGTTAGCCAACGGATGGCGGCGCTGTAATCATCTCTCCATCTCTCTTAATCTTATGGCGATATATAGCGATTGCATTCTTTCTTTATCTTACACGCAATACTCGCCTTTCTATATGCGTCTCTCTTCCTCCCGTACGTGAGATATCGTTGGCTAACACGTGCGATCTCTTTTTTACCCCCACTTCTGGTTTGTTAGCCAACTTTTAGAGCATCAAGCGCTAACATAGGATCTGGGCTTCTATGGGACTTCTGAATTCTTTGCCCGTATCGGATTAATCATACTGAAAGTATATTTTGAACATATGTAACACATGTTGGCCATCGAGACGAGACGAGAAGACCGGCTACTGGTATAACTTTTCATTTCTTAAAAGTTTAAAGTTAGATGTTTATTCGGTAATTTAATAATGGAATAATGCGACAAAACAGTAGTTATTTAACACTTGGAAAAGTGTATGTAGAAAGGGATGACAAGGAGGCGTTGTTCAAGTGGAAGTCGTAAGTTTGAATACCGAAGACTGCCGACGTGCAATGTGCACCCTTTCGGCGCGGTGGCCCGGTCAGTGGCGGTTCTCTGGCGGCGCGGACTGCCGTAACGAAAGGGTTAAGGTAAAGCACATAATTTACGAGTGAGCTACATTTCCTCCGATAAATGAACGAAAAATGCGAGGGAAAGTGGGACACGAAAAGTGATTACGCAACCTTACAACAAAATTGATGAACGGGGAATGGAAGAATTGTATCTGTGGAATTTTTAGTATTTAAGATATGTACGAAACTAGGTATGAAACATCACTCTATGTTCTTTCACGATACCTTAGGGTAATAAGGCGCACCATAATTTAAGAGGCTTGTGAAAGCTAAAATATTAAGTATTTTGGGACGGGGAAATGAGCCGGGTGGACGTGACCAATATTTATTATGGTCACAAACCATCGGAAATCATTTGTAAATGCTTCGAATAAAAGTTGAAGAGGATCAGTCTCAAAAAAAAAAAAAACTCAAATCGCTCTTTTATGTGATTCCTTATCAAAAACGAGCCGAGCCCCGAAGAATCTGAAATGTCACCGAATAGGATTCGACGCAGTCAATGATTACACTCACCCCATTGCCAACCAGCACCGGCATGAGCAGGAGAATCTATTTCCATAAGAACCCTGACGCCTCTGATTCTAGCATAGTCCGCGATATCCTTAATGTCTTCAGGTGTATATACTTCGTCACCGCTATAAGCTCCCCATCTTGCCATTTCTGGAAACTGAGCTGAATCGAAGGGAAAACTTTGGGAGTCGGTGAGGTGCCAGTGGAAGGTATTCAATTTTGATGCCGCCATACCGTCGATTACCCTCTTCAGATGGTCAATGGGGAAAAATTGCCTACCAGTGTCCACGAGCAATCCACGATACGGAAACATTGGTTTGTCTTCGATGAAGGCCTGCGAGATCACGCGAAGGATACCCTGTCTCCCAGCGGTTTCATCCCACCAGATCATTTGACTGAGAGTCTCCAGTCCGTGTCTCACCCCGCAATAGCTTTTTCCACTAATCCTGGCTTCCAAAACCTTATCCTTTAATATTACCTCCAATTTGTAGGATTCGTCGGTATCTAGCGTCAGTTTTGTGCCTTGGGCATCAGTCGCGCTCAAGTAGATAATAAAACTATTGATGCTCGACCTTCCTTTCGATTTTAAAGCCTTGATCAACGTTCTGACATTGCCTGCGGGAGAATTATTAATGCATTATTAATTAGAATAATTCAGATTTCTACATGGAAACTGCCCCACGAATCACGATTACATAACAACGATATAATCGTTACGTCTTTTTGTAACATGTAATATAACGTACACCATTATCTGTACCTAAAATGTATGTTACTATTTTCTACGCAATTATATAACGAATAATGTAACATGCGCATAACATATTGGTCGAATGTTACGTGTTATGTTAAAATTATACAATTGCAATGCTGACAGATTTGTAACAATGTTACGGAACAGGTAATAATTAAATATTATGAAATATGAAGGTATCTTTGGAATAACATTCGCTATACATCATGTTATTTCAGCGTTACGTGACTGTAACCCGGTATACTTAGTGGGGCATAACCTCTAAATATCTCATTTCACTTGTTAGACTTTCTGATAGTTGTGGTCAGTCGGAATGTGTTACGTTAAAATCTTCATTAGACGCAATTTCGTGCCAAGATATTTAACGCACTATCTAAGTGAAACTCCTTAGCATCGGAATAGACAAGGGTTGGTATCACTTTGATAAAGCTCAATAAGTTAACAAAAGATTGATGAACAAAAATATTACTTCATTCAGACACGTTCATTTCTTCACAATCTCAAAATGAAAATACATAGGCTTATAATAATTAAAATATAATACAAATGTTCTTGACTGCAATCTATCTTAACACGTTGACTGCCACGGTGGTCACCGTCTTGCGATAATACACCCGTCATTTGTTTTGGCAGTCAACGTGTTAATATCGAAATGACACACAATTTTACAACCTCGCCATCTGTTGCATTCAATAGCAACTAATTTTTCACTTTGAGAGAATTTACAGTATCTACGTTACATACGTTGAATTCGCGGATACACGGTTACCCCCTTTTCCGGATTTTAATGCATAACTTTCTGTTACTACCGTATTTCAGATGATTAAGAACGATTCCTGACACCGGCAATTACTATTTTAGAGTCATTTAGAAGCGATTAGTGGTAAAAGTATGTGGCAGATCATGTTGCTTCTTGCCTAAGCTAAATAACATAGTTAAAAGAATAGTAACTTTTTGAGTGTCATGAGAGGCATCCACACCTCCATAATCATACGGTGAAATTTCAAGTTACCTGTAGTTTATAAAAATTAATTGATATAAGAATTATTCCTTCTAGATAGGACATAAACATAGTGAAACAAACTAGCGCAACGATTTAGTTTATTATATTAAAGAAATTACCCAGAAAGACATCCTTCGCGTGCTCCAGCAAGTTCTTCACTTCTTGGTCGCTGGTGTTGACCGTAACGAAAGCGATCTGATGCATATGCAGCATTACACTGTCTTCGCCAAGAATCACCGTGCCTGTAGGTCTGGGCCAGATTAGTCGGGTGTTACCTCCACATAAGGCCGTACAAGTCGCCAAAGATGTTCTTGACGATCTGACTGCTCTCCTTTCACAACGCCCAGACACACACGTCCAAGACCATGGAGTTTGGAAAGTCCTGCAGTATCAAATATATTCTAATTTAGAAATTACCGTGACACGTTTGCCATTATCACAAATCGAAAACTTAGTCGAAGCATCTTTATTTTTTGATACGGAGCAACTGGTACATTTGCATTCGTACAAAAGCGACGTATGTTAAAGAGTTCTCTCACTACAATTAAAATGTCAACTTGCTACATACAACGATACGTTTTCACCCAGACTATATATCGAGAAACACGCGTATAGTTTCCCCCATTTTAATATTTTTTCAAGACATCGGCAATTGTAATTGCGTTCTGTTTTGAAAAAAAAATTCCTGTAGACTGCCGTAGCGCAGTCTGAAAGCCGTGAATGATCTTTGCGCTTTTTGCGTAAATAGTGCAAAGCTGAAGTGATTCTGACGGTTCTTATAGATGTCAATGCTAGTAACATCGTTTGCCCGATTTTACCTACATGTTTTTTCACGAAGGCACTGACACACCCACACACCCACCCACCATGAAATTTCAAATATGCAATTTTTAATAAGAGATATATTTAAGCAATACTTTCTATAGAATTATCTTTAATGCAATTATTGAACATGTCGGGCGATATACAAATTAATCAAACATCGTGGTTTTAACTTATAATTTATACCATATAAGTTATACAAAGACTCACCGACGAGTGGCAAACGGTTGAAGCGATGCAAGCGGTGGTGCGTGGGTGTACATGGCGATAAGAAGAACACCAGTTAACAGGACTAGGAAGAGAAGAATTCGCCTCATCTTTCCGCTGGGCATTCCGCTCGCCATCCTGGCAAATCTAGTTCCAATCGTACAGATGATTAGCAGTGAAATAAGTTTCCATTTCCTTTGTCGCGTTATTTTATGTTGGTATATTCTCAAGGACAGTGAGAACATTACACATAGTCCTACTTCTTACTTAAATGACTGTAACACGCTTTAGAAACTACTTTCTATTTTTAAATATACATGAATTTCTATTACGGAAATAATATTTGGAAACAACTTTATAAACGGTCGTCAGTACAGTTTCTGTTAGTTTAAATACATAAATATTTTTAGAATCGGTGCATCATTACAAAATCTACTGTAATTCAATCCATAATTTTTGTGCTACGAGTCTTAAAGTAAACTGGTTCTTTTTAAGAACCTGGGCATGCGCTGAATATCGGCATGAACCTTATGTATCGTTACTTGATTCTAGTCGAAATAGGGAATACATTTTTCCAATGCTACTACTTTTGACGTAGGATTTTGTTATTAGCTTTAGAACCACGCGATTCATACATTGAAGACAAAACGTGTTTCTGAAACGACGAAATGAAGAAACTACTGCGATTGTGTGATTAGGGAAAGGAATGGATACACTCTTCCTTGATCCGCCCTCTTTTACATTCTCTCAAACGCACATTTTCTGAAATGTTGGCGCTTGGAGAACACTGGTCACAACTTGAGTAGGGTTCTTATTCAAATTCAGAATGCATTTAAACAATGAAAGCTCAAAACCTAAGGTTGAACTATCGCTGGTTGGGCCATCGATTTCTAAAAAGATCTGAGTGATTGAAATGTCACCACGTGAATATCGAGATCCCGAGGATGGACTCGACGATCATGAAATGTCATTTCTGTTAATGAACCTCGCCCCGATTTCTATAGGTTCTGGGCCACGAACGAACATCTTTAAATTACGTATCACTATGTGGATGAAGGTAAGTATAACGATAATATCAGGCTCCCAAGTTGCTATACTTCGTATAAGCGGGATTGAAAATTGAGCTCTAATTTGTGAAATTCGAGGTAAAGCATAATTTGTCGCGGACATTACAAATGCTCAGAAAATCTTTAAAATGATGATGGCTAAAATAAGTCAAGGGAATGTCTTGAAGGGAAATGTAAAAGAAACTAATCTTAGTCGCAAGTTGTAAGACAATTTCACTCCATCAACGATAAAGAACTATCGGGGTTCCCAATTCCATTAGAAAGGGATCTTTATTTATTAGCTCTTGGACGATATCAAATAAAGCAGGCAAAGTTATATTACGTTGAGTATGTTGCCACTGATGAGCGATTTAAGATTTAATTTTAGAATGACATTCAAGCCATCGATTTTGCTTTCTCTGAGTTGACCCTTGAAGAATTGCTGACCCTTTGTTTATAAAGGCTAGGATACAACCCAAGTACGCCAACAAAACAAAATATTACATTTATATGTTGGTCGAACAAAATTTTTTAAATTGAGAGAAATGACGCTATACATGCTTACTACGATACTTGCAAAAACGGCGCCAAGAATGTTGGTTATTGTGCCCACACAACTACCATAATACGGTATCCAGCTTATGCCCGGCGCGTCGGGTTTATAAAAGCACCGACTTAACATATAGAAGACATTTTTGTAACGTTCGATATCTCCAATGATGAGCCTACCGTGTTAAATTAATTTTTGAACACCCTAGTATATCTTACGGCATACAATCAACTGAGCCAAACTTTTTTTTTTTTTCGTGAATGTACTCAGTCAGATCTACGCATGGATACATAACTCATTGCTGTTCGCCATATGACCTAGTTCGAGACGATGTTCTTTGTTCAGAAACATTTAACTTAGACAAAAAAAAAAATTACATTTCACGAGTGTCGGGACATTCCTTGAGGTGTCCATATTCACGAGGTAAAATTTCAAATGATTCGGTATGCCCAGTTCGAAGGAGTGTTTTATTAAACGATCACCTCTTCAGTTGCCACTTTTCTAACACGTTAAGGGGATGTGAAAGTGGCATCTAAACAGTCAATCATTCATGAAACTTTTTTCCGAACTAGGTATGATGAATCGTTTCAAATTTTACAACGTGAATATGAAGGCTATAGGAAAGGTCCTGACTTTTGTGAAATTTCATGAGTTTCAGGATCTTTCTTATACCCTCCATATTTATATTGTAAAATTTGAATCGATTCGGGACACCCAGTTTGGGGAAAAGTTTCATGAACGGGAATACTTCGATGACACTTTCACATCCCCTTAACGAAGTAACCAATTGTCTGACAGAAAAATAGTAAGGGGGGTTTTGATTGCAATTTCGTCAATTTCCATTATACTTAGGAAATATTACTACATTCTGTGATAAGGTATGCGTGGGGTGATTATTCACCAAAGTCAACAGATGGGCCAACCATATTTGCCCACATGACAACGTATATAATATTTAAAGACATGAGAAGATACCAAACAATGTTTAATATATAGGATTGAAAATACTAAAGATATGAGACGGACCTGTTAATACTGAAAATCTTGTAAGCACCTTCATCCAAAATCCGTTATTCACGCGAGGTCTGAAACAAGAAATAATGAAATATAACAATATACTTGAAACGGAAGAACTTGCATTCAAACAATAGTATAAATTTGCAACCGATAAAGTACAAAATGTTTAAGGTCATTTAAGATGAACATTTAATCGCAAATATTTTTTACATTATTTTGAGTCGCGTGTTACGTGACAATTGAGAGGTCAGCTAACAAGGTTTCCCAATTCGGAAATTCCAATAATTTTGAAACTCGGGGGATATTTAGACAGGGTCTAGATGAGTTAAAACATTTTTCTTTTTGGGGTTTTCCACAATGAACGGTGAATTTCGTAAATAAAAGAAATTGTATCGAGCCTACGTCGTCCTATTTTCAATATATAATAATATTTCATGAAGAAATCAAACTGATAAAAATTGTTATTTGCAATCGCTTAAATTGTTTAATTTTTCCTTTTACCCAGCGATAAATCTTATTAAGAGAATTATCTATTATTTAAATAATTGTGTCGTCTCTGTTGTCGTTTGTGGGAGATAAAATGAAAACTGAAAACCCAATCATTTTCGGGGGATGATTTCATCTCTTCAAAATGATTTTCTACGGAAAAGAAATTGTTTTTAACTCACCTAGACACGCTCTAAATATCCCCCGAGTTTCAACATTTTTGGAATTTCCAGGTTGAGGAACCTCCCCTGTAAGCCAGAACATTTTTGCAATATTTTCTCACGGTCCGAATGAAAAACTATGGAAAACTAACCATCAATTCGACCCTCTTCAATTATGTTCCCCACTTTCCAAAATTCCACGTGTTGAAAATCACCGATAGGCGAACCAATCAAACCAATATCCAGGATATTTCATAATCCCGTAACATTATTGGGACAAGAGAACTAATTCTGATTAGTCTCCCTAAAAGTACAAAAATCCACTAATTCCGCGATGTATTTTGCACATAATTAGAAATCAAGGACAACGCGTGCGGCAAAGTTGAGTCGAAATAATTGACTTAGCTTCAATGACATTAGGCGTAGCTTTACGACCTGTTATATAGATGGACCCATGTCGCTCGATAATTTGAGGGATACCTTTTCTTTTCAGTTTTAGGGATTGTACCATTTCTGCACTGTTTTCTTGACATATACGTCAGGAAAACGCCGCGTCTGTATCTAGTTATTTCCCGCCAATTGTGATATAAAAAATAAGTAATCCATAGCGATGCATATTTACAATAAAATGCTAAAATTATTTCTAAGTAAGAATTTGAAACATACCTTGTAGTCCAACGCGTTTGATCAATTAGGACAACTGAATTGACAAAGATACGAGTTTATGAACTTTACATCCTTTCCGGGTACTGATGCTAATTTGGATTCTGATGATCCCTTTGTTCTTATCTTAAGTAATGTAACTCTTATATTATTAATAATAAGTGAATGGTTCAAATTTAACTTTCAAGGGCACTCTAGCAAAACTCAAAAATGTTGTTATTTGCCATACTTGGCACTCGATTAGCAATGACCATCCGATTACATTATGACATCCACTGTTCAGTATTTTGATACGAAGCATAAAGTATGAGCGATAAACACACCTCATAAATAATTGCAAATTGAATAGTTACGGTAAAGTATAAAATTGAAGTAATATTTTTAAAAAACGAGCGCTTAATGACACTTTTGACACGCAGTGATTAAATCTAAATGGCTAAAGGTGCTAACAGCAACAAAGGGTAAAACATTTATGAAACAATTAATAGTTACATTCATCAAACTACAAAGTATCTTAAACATTGGCATTAATTGAAATATCTCTTGCAAAGGAAATGATATATGCAATTTTTCTCCGCACATCGATGTAATTCGAAAATGAAAGTCATAGCAATTGCAAATACTATAAATTATTTTAGAAAATGTCGGTAATTTATTGACTCATAAACCAAATACTTAAATTGCTTATTGACAAGAATTAACAGTTCATTTAATTTATAAGAGTAACACTGCGTCAGAGCATTACAGTCCCTTAGTATTTTTAAAATGATTTATAAGCCACGGCATGTGGCATTGTGACATATATCCAATTATGATTACATCATGTATTTATTGACTATAGCCTTAACCAGGAAATGTTACTGTATTTCGGATATACATATGTGAATATTAGGCACAAAGCTTAAATAATAACAAAACATTCATTATATCCATATATTAACAATGCATGACAAATTATAGTTACAAGTGAAAATTCTTATTCTTATTCTTATTCTTATCGATTCAATGAAATCAATGAAGGAAAACTAACTTAGAGCCATTTAAACGTTCTTTAAAATAAGTTTACGGTAGAAAAGCTTGAGCATAAATGTAAGAGTACAAACTATTTTTGTTTAATAGAAAATTTAACCCATTGCACTCGAGGACTTTGCCATTCCAGTTGCCAGTGGTGCCCAAGAGGCACCTCTCGAGTGTAAAGGGTTAATCATAATCCGTTACGGACTTACACCAAAATTTTAAGTAGAAGGTAATCTAGATACAGATTTTATTCTTGCACTATCAAATATTGTCATAATTTCAAATGTAATTTGTTGACAATTGGCAACCTATGGTCTCAAACAATATACAAAAATCCATACCCTCGATACTGCGTAGCTACGCCCTAAGGACACAAAATACAATGACGATCCTATGCACTTTTGCAAATTGTGTAAAGTTCGCCAGCACATTCAGTGCCTTGGAATGAAAACTGAAAGATTATAAATAAGAAATTAACTCCACGTTGGGACGTTTTAAGCGCGATCATCCATGTAGAAGCGTCAACATACAAACCCCGATTTAAGCTGGCAAAGCGAAGAAGGTGGAAGAAATCGAGGACGGTGAGGTGAGGAGCGAGTGATTGAAAAAAAACCGAACCCACTTACCTAACCTAAAGCGCGGTCGCGGCCCGGTTGGACGTCTTCCAAACTTGTCCCGAATCGGGCAGGTGCGGGGTCTTGCTGCGCGCTGCAACGGGCACCTGCACCAGTCTGTACATGCGCTTCCCCCTTTTGTACACCGATCTTCGTACGAACGGTCGCGTGCGATGTTGATAAAAGGCACACGTTTTAAACTAGAAGCGGAGGGTTGCGATAAGGGAGCTTGACAGCGATACGACACATTTAACGTGCTACTTACGCGACGCAACTCACCGAGTCGCACGCGCCACGCTCGAGCTGTATCTCTGGACACTCAACTCCCACGCAAGGCACCGTACACGCGCTCGCCCGTCTGTCGTATGGTGACGTTACGTCAACGTTACCACTTTGTCTCAACCCCTTTACTACTGTGTGATAGACGCACATGTATCCATTACGCAGCAGACGCGAGTTACGAGAACGTCGACGGGACGACATTCCCAATCGCCATCCCTTGCTGCCCTCTGCCAATAATCGAGGCGGCTTACTCCCACGCGTGGCGCCACCTGCCGTGCACAAGAGATGACTTACACCCTCCTATCGGTTACCCGAGGGCGTCCATTACGTGCCATTACGTATCTTTGACGAGAGTTCTCACTTATCGCACTTTCATCTCACGTGAGTTTAAGGATGCGATAACGTATCCTGCAGATGAAAGTGCGAAATCTCTAGACGGAGAGTATGCGGAAAAAGTTTTCAGCGTAATGTATGTATGTATGTACCATACAAGCACTAAAATATAGAGTGCGACGACTGGGGGTCTATTACGTAAAGCAAATTAAGCGAAAATGTGAAAAATGAGTAGCTGACGGTATTACGGAACGTTATTGGTGGTGAAGATGCGAGACCATTCATGTGACCTGGCCCGGCACAAATTTCTAAGCGAAATAGTAAAGCGTACAAGAAAAGATAGAAAAATAAGCGCCGTGAACGCCATCTTCCACGGATTGTCACACCAAAATTAAAAATGGAAAACCTCCTGGGTGTTTTGATTTTTGGCAACAATCGTATTCGGGGATGTAATAATAACCTTATTAGAAGAAGAAAGGAATTACGTGATGCCTCAGATCCATGATACAAAAATTATATCGTTGAACTTTTTATTATAGTACATGTAAATATGAATGTAATACATATTTAAAAAATATGAATAAACTCGACTCCTTTTCTTTAATTTTAACGGCTTCCCCCCATCATTCCGCCTTTCCTGTCTATAACCCACACCTCAACAATTTTCGATTTACAAAGTATTTACCTTTATTTGCAATATTACTAGACCGGAAGTGCTAGTGATCTCGTTCTTTCACATAGTGAATACGTAATTCGACGAATAAACCCACGTGAGATGAAAGTCCGAGAAGTGAGCGTGCTCGTCAAAAATACGTAATAAACGCCAGGGTCCTGGTTCCTCTGGTCGTCGGATTGGCTCGTAGTCCGTTGCGCCCGTGGAGCGCTGAAGCGCTCGACCCAAAGTGCAGGAGTTAGCGAAATAAAAATCTCGGTCCAGGTCTTCGGTCTATGATCCGTAGTTTCGGAGACACAACGGAAATGAAATGCTGCGCTCTGATTGGTCGATTTCGAAAAGGCCATAACTAGGAAACTACGCACCATAGGTGAAAACGGAAAAGAAACTTTCGATTCCTAACAACGTCTACCGTCGATCCCCCCCCCCCCCCCCCCGGTCGCCACATCCAGTACCTGAACGGACCGGTTTGGTTCAGGTAAGGGGCGTTCGCGACTGGGGCGATGGATAGGGGACTGGATTCCACGGCGATACTTCCTTTACCGTTTTTTTCTACGTCCCGTGGTTTCGGAGATACAGCGGAAATAAGAATACTGCGCTCTGATTGGTCGGTTCTTTGGAGGGGCGTAACTCGGAAACTACGCGGCGTAGGAGAAAACGGAAAAGGAAGTTTCAAATCCAAAGGACGTCCGCCCTCGACCCCCCCCCCCCCCCGGGTCCCAACTTCCGGTACCTGAACGGACAGATTCGGTTCAGGTAGGGGTCGTTCGCGACCGGCGCGATGGATAGGGGACCGGACCGGATCAATTTAAACGGAACAATCTTCCCCATCAAGCTACCGTGAACGCAGTTCGCATCGCGAAAAAAATTCACAAACATCGTTTAACATATTTTACCATCTTCTACCGACAATTGGAGCAAGCTCGATTTCGATTAACTGCCCATGATGATTTTACCAAAAATGGCTGCTTCCAGGTGATCCACCTAAACCTGCAAAAGGGCACAAAAGTACAGGTAAAACAGAACATTGAAGGAACACCTGGAAGTCGCCAGATTCTCCGAAGTGGACCACCTAAAGCTGAAAGAGAACACAAAGGCACAAACGAAACCATTGGGAAAGCGAGAAAGAGACGGTGATACAAGAGCTAATAACTTAATAAAGTTACCATTAAAGTCGAGAA